TCTCTCTCTCTCTCTCTCTCTCTCTCTCTCTCTCTCTCTCTCTCTCTCTCTCTCTCTCTCTCTCTCTCTCTCTCTCTCTCTCTCGTGCGTGTGTGGGCACGCAGCATCTACTCGTGCGTTCCCTCGCTACTCCATTTCTCCAAGATGCTCAATTTGCCTGCGCCGCTTGTTCCCACCACGCGCTTCTCGACCCCGCCCGTGTTGGTGATCGCACTGCCTGTGCAGGTGACCACCCGCCTCGCGCAGTCTTCCCGCTCATTTCCCGCTCTCACTAAGCTCAACGCAGCCCGTACCCGCCAGTCATTCTCCCCCTCTCCATTTCGTTTGTGGGCATCCCCGACCTCGCGCGCTGCTCGTTTCCCCCCACGCGATTCCTCTCTCTCTCTCTCTCTCTCTCTCTCTCTCTCTCTCTCTCTCTCTCTCTCTCTCTCTCTCTCTCTCCGCGCGACACCGCTGCTTCGCGCAGCTTCCCGCGCGGCCACGCTTCCCCGTGCAGAGGCCTTTTTCCCTCCCGCGCGGCTCCACTGCGTCGCGCAGCTTTCCCCTTTCTCACGCATGCGCGCGTCTACATGCGCGCAGCATCCGTTGCCGCTAGCGCGGTTTCCTGCCGTCTCTCTCTCTCTCTCTCTCTCTCTCTCTCTCTCTCTCTCTCTCTCTCTCTCTCTCTCTCTCTCTCATGTGCGCAGTCCGTTCTTCCCCGCGCAACACCCCCCTCCTCGCTTCAACAGTTCCTACCCTCAGGCACCACCATTCCCTCGCGAGCTCGGCTCCTTTATGAAGCTTCATCGTCCCTGTGCAACCTTGTTTCCCCATCGCGCAGCCTAGTGCTGCTCCCCCGTCTCGCTCCCCCCAGCTCTCTGAGACTCCCTGTTGGTCTCCTCGTGTGCCCATTGCCTCGGGAAAAGTCCCGGTTCGCTCGTGATTGGGCTCACAAGCCCCGTACACGAACGGGAACCAGGACCTTCCCTGGTTCGTGCATCGTTCCCCTGTTCACTGCCACGTGCACCTATCAAAGCTCCCGACAGTGTCCTTTCAGTACGCGGTTGTACCTGTCTGTTGGCGCGTTCTGGTACGCGGTCGGAAGCGAACCAGCACACACCTGTGTGCCAGTTTTTTCCGATACTCCCACCCGCGGGATCCCCAATCCGGAGCCTGGCTGGGCTTATATAGTCTGCTGGGCCCAATGCGGCGTGGGCCACAGCTCTCCGATGTATCCAGGCTGTCGGGAACTTTGCAGCGCCCCGGTACCGGGGCTCCTCCCGAACCTAAGTTCGTGCCCATTTGGGACCCGAAAGGTTACTTGTCATGCCAAGTGGGCCTTTTTGTCGGGTACTGAGCTTTTTGCAGCATTCGGGTACTGGCCTACGCCCGAGTCGCCTCATTCCGAGCCTAGGTTTGGCTCCCCACCCCAACCGAAAATTTACGAGGCCCGTCAAAATTCGGAGGTGGCCTGATACTTGAGAGAAATAGGTCTTCCCTTCTTAGAGGCCCGAAATCTTTCCCCCACCTTCCATTTCAATATTCTAGCATCGTGGTCCAATTAACGCCAGTTTAGCCATTTCCTCGACTTCTGGTCGGGCATTGATTCTTCACGGGCGTCGCTCCGTCGTTTACCCGGACGCTCACCATGAGAATAGATTAGCCCTCTCCATCTCACAAGTCGCCAAGGCTCTGGCTGTTGTCACTCGCCCGACGCCTACAGACTCCTCTTTTCCTCCATAGTTATTAGGTTTTCTCTGGCTATGAAAATTCTCGGCGTTGCTTTAAGAGAATTTTTTTTCCCTCCATCAGGGATCATGTTCTCCCAACTCCTCGGCTCCAATCTTGTCCCTTTGAGTCTTGCCTTCCTCGATCTCGAGAAAGGAAGTGTCCGAATTGGTCGCTTAGTTCGGCTCCGGCCACCGACAGATGTCTTGTCAAGGAAGTAAAGGGCGGCGTAAGGCTTGGGCCGCCCGACAATGGTGATCGAGGGAAGAGAAAAGTATTATGTCTATAGAAGTTAGCTAAAGGTAAACCGAGTACAATGACGCTCGAATGCCTGGACTGGTTTTCCTTCGAGAATGAAAATCCTACCTGGACTTGAAATCATCCGTCAAAGAACTTAGGGAGGGAAAAAAAACGGTTCGGAGTCACAATCGGAGAAAAAGGGTGATGGTAGGCTTGTCGATCAAAGTCTATGAGCCTTAATCCCCTTACCTAACTAACTAGTTGACTTGTTTGAGTACAAGAAAAGGGGTCGCAAAAAAAAATTTGTGAAGCGAAGCTAAGTCACTGGTTCTATTAAGTTGCTTGTTGGTCACACGTAAGGAAATAGATGAAGGCTGACTCTCAGTTCATGATATCTGGCTAAGGAAGTCGAAAAGGGAGAGGACATGAGCATGTTTGTATTCCCGCCTGCAATGAATCGCTGATTTGACCTCCTGTTATGTGTAATTACCCTGCCACATCCCTATGATTGGTTTCTCTTTCATGTTTTTAGAATGGGAGTAAATTAGAATGTTACCGTTCTAAAAACGAGGATCGATTGAATCAGCCCGAGTAGAGTTTTGAGCTTGGAATAGAGGTCACGAGTTAGAGTTAATAATCTTAACTTGTTATAATTTTACAACTGTTTACAATGAGCAGTTAATACTTTCTGGGTCAACCACTCTTTGGGCGCGTAACAGATAACGCATACTCGGACTCCCTGTCGACCATTGAGGACCTCTGAGGCGGGCGCAGCGGGTGACATACATTGTTGTCCTTGGGTTCAGCAATCGGTGTCCACCTTCCCCGGTTCTCCTCATAGCGGGGTTCCAGATCTAGAGCGACGTCGATGTTCATGCGGTAAACGTGTTCTTCCTCGTCTTGCCCGTTTCCGTCCATGTGACGATGCTAATGAGGACGATGAAGAGTACCTTTGCCTCCTCCTGTCTCCTGATGATCGTGATTGCGTCATCGTGGCACAAGGCATACCACATTATTTGGCCATCGCCGGCGCATTCGGTCCAAACACGGCGACAAAACTCCATATATTCATCCCCGATGTAAACCAATAATGTCAATAATGTTTGCATGTAGTTCGGCTACAGAAAAGATTAAAAAAAGTAATAATATCTCAACCATTGTTTTCAAATATATACCTTTAGTACCATGTACTACAAGGCACCTTGCCTGCCACTCACCCAACTCATATGTGTCCTCCTCATCTGGGTCCCTCGACTGTATCTCATGAGTGTTTGAGGTCATCTC